TAACCCCAACTGACATGCTCAGAGCAGCAGACTTCAGATAATGGTTAACGGTCCAGCCCTCAACAGCTCTACGTCAATTATGGGGTGTCATCATATGCCGTTTCCATGGAAACGCATCCCTCGCCATAAAAGACTATGTCGCTAACTCCTATGAAAATCTTCAAAAAGTGCTCAAACTTCACATGTGTTCTCACAGTCCAGCTGTGAAGACATCTACGGGACAGTTTTGAGATTTCTTCAAATGCCGTTGCCATGGCAACACAATGCTCAACATGAAACACGGTTTTCTCATAACTTCAGTGAAAATGCTCCAAACGGCCCAAAACTTCACAGGTTTGGTAACGTTGCAGCCATTATCGTATCTAAGCGTATTATGGGATGTCATCAAAAGTTTGCAGTTCAAATATTCTGCTGCTTTTCCAAGCCTTTTTACTTTCTTTTCTTCTCTCGTCATCACACATTCAAGCCCCCAGTGTTCATGTATCATTTCAATCTAAATGATTCACTTTCTTCTTACACATTACATTTCAGCATAGCAGTTTAGCGTCAGCTTTTCAGCATAAAGCATTCCCACTAGCAATTTCTTCAGGAATTGCATTCTCTAGTTAGGATTGTAGCTCATCCTGTTTATTGTGTTAATATGGTCTACACATAATATAGCGCCTGGGTCAGTCATAGACTGCATAAAGGTCAGAGTCCGAAACACTGACTGGGCTCTGAGGACAGGTGTGGCCTCAAACACGCACACACGCGCACACACACACACACAGCAAACAGTCTGACTCATGTAAAGAGACTTACTGCAACAAAGCATCAGCACACAGTTTGACACAAAGCAAAGTTACACAGATACAAACATAGGCTACAGGTAAAGTTTGAACCAACAACATCCGTTGACATTTCTCACCAAAAAAAAAGCTATTTTCTTTTATCTTTATTTCTATTTAAAGTATTTATTTGAGCCTTGTGTTGTTCTCAGTTATTTAAACGTTATTGTCTTTTAACCATACTGATTTACATTACCATTAGGCTAATAATCACTGTGTATTGTTAGCTTACATGTTAGCTTAAATGCACAAAAGCGTGCAACGGCCACTCCATGCAGTTCTCCTAAAAGCGGCAATTCAATTCAAAAAGCTTTATTGGCATTAACAAAACATATCTTTGCTAAAGCATTTTACAAAAAATTTCAGATATTGCCTATTAAATAAACAGGTGTCATATGCGCAACACACACACACACACACACACACACACACACACACACACACACACACACACACACACACACACACACACACACACACACACACACACACACACACACACACACACACACACACACACACACACACACACACACACACACACACACACACACACACACACACACACACACACGCTCTCTCTCTCTTTCAGGTGGGTAGTTTACCTTTGCAGTCACGTGACTCCTGCACCGGGGTAAAGGTGGACAGCTTCGTGCGACTCTGACTGTAATCTGACTGCCGCCCTCACACTGCCAGCCAGTCGACTCTTTCCTGAGTGAGCGAAGTGCGCCTGGAAATTATTGTTTTCGTCCAATATGTCCATCAGTCGGAAGAACTGGTCGGCTTTGTCCAGGTAAGATTATCTGTTGTTTTAAGAGAATATGACACCTTTGGTTAAGCGCTCCATCTGCAGCTGTTGCTTTATATGTTATGGAGGTTAACTTTAGTCACTGAACTAGCAGAAAAGTATCACTCTCAGCAGGACAAAACATAGGCCTAGTTTATAATATTCATCTAGGGATATTATTATATCTGTTCAGATGTGTTGTGTGCCCTTGGAAGCTTTATGAAACAGTGAGTGGTTCCCTATCTCCTTTGTTATCATTGTTAGTAGCCTATAGGCACTTCTAACTTTCTTAGTTTGAATGAAGTCACAGTTGTTGTTTTTTCAGGTTAAAGTCTAGAGATAACTGGAAAATGTGTAGCCTACCGTCTTACCCTTCTGCACTGTGTCTTAACTAACCTGATGTGTTTACTACACACATCCTGCATAACATTAGACCTTATGGTCCATTTAAAGTTGTTCAGACAAGCAACCAACTGTAGTCTAACATTTACAGTTGATGAACAAGTAAAGCAGGTTATGTGTAACCGTTATAACAGTAATCTATCTATATCTATCAACCAAAACAAGTAGGTAATTGGATGAATGTCAAGAGATGAATTATAGCTTTCATTTTGGACATAATTTAGTACTAGATTTCATTTTCTGTTTTACGTCCACATTACCTGATTATGATGTGCGTCTACTATGTGCATTATGACTTTCTTCAGCCTGGCGCGGCAATGGACGGTGGAGGATGAGGAGGAGGTGGAAAGGGAGAGGAGGAGGAGGGTGAAGAGCTCCAACGTTACCGAACTTGGTGATGACCTCAGCCCAACAACCAAAGACACACCCACCAGTGACAGCACCTTTGTGTCCAACAGTGAGATGTCCCAGGGCCTCAGCAGGTTATTTTAACAATTTATTGAAGACCTTTATTCATTTGTACTCGTCCCTGAAAATGATACTCTTGCGGTTGGTGTTTGCTCTGCTCTTCTTCTCTTTTCTCGGTTTGTCCCTCAATTGTATTGTATGTTACAGGGCCATAGGGATGCTAATAGTTATAGTCCATGTATTTTGATG